ATGTTGCCATTAGTATTCTTATGTGCAAAAGTTTTTATTAAACCCCCTTTTTTCTTCATTATTAAAGCTTTTTGTCTCTTTCTCTCTTTTTCTGCCATCTCTCTCTCTCTCTCTCTTTTAACAATTATATGTCACAATGAAGATTTTTTTTTTTTTTGGCATCCATCATGCTGAGCACTTACACATATAGAAATGTATTTAGGTTAAGGCTAAGGATAATTATGGCATTATTTCTGTGATAACTTTAAATTTTTACTTTTGGAATTCTTTATGGAATTTCTATCATGCATATATTTGAATTCCTATTAATTTTCAATTTCCTTATACTTTCTCTACTGTTACTCTCTTTCTTATCTTTTATTTAGAAGGAAAATTCTTTATCCTTTTACTTTTCTACCTTATATTTGTTTTTATTTTTTAATCATTTTAAAAAATTGATCTTATTTTAATTCCTTAGTTCTTTTAATTTTCTCTTATTTCCTTTTTAAGGAATCTTATATTTGAGTCCTTTCTCGGAATATTACCTTTTAAGATAAATTTCCAGCCCTTTTTTCACTTTGCTTATTCCTTTTGAGTCTCTTTGCTTCTGTTCACTTAATTTGCTATCTTTTATGGTGGCTTCTATTCTCAGAGGCCTAATGAACCTGGGACTCTTATACACATTTAGCAGTGAAATAAATTAAAGCTGATAGAAATGTCTACTTAACTGCAGGAAAGTCATCTTTAAATGGAAGTTTCTTTTTTAAGTTTCCATAACCACAATCTGACTGTTAGAATATGGAATGTGGAAGAAATAAGCAACTTTTAGTTATATGTGAAATGTCAGAGACTGATTAATAGACTATATTATAATTATATCCATCTATAAAATGGGTGTTTGGATTTTATTTAAAGAGATCATTTTTCCTTAACCATATCCTTGGCTTTAGTGTCTTAAATCCCACATATATTTTTATTGCACTCCTTTTTTAAAATATTTTCAAGATTAAATGTGGTGGATTTTTGTATTTCCATTAGAGATGCTTTGAAGTTGGGTTGATTTTCAATAAATTGAGAGAACACTTTCATTATTACATATTGTTAATATCTTTTTTTAAAAGGTTTTATTTATTTATTTATCAGAGATAAGGAGAGAGAGAAAGCACAAGCAGGGGTAGCAGCAGATAGAGGGAGGACAGCCCTCCTGCTGATCAAGGAGCCTGATGAAGGACTCGATCTCAGGACCCTGGGATCATGACCTCAGCTGAAGGTGGACGCTTAACCAACTGAGACACCCAGGCATCCCTTAATATCTGTTTTTATAAATGTTCACTATATTTTTGTTGTTTAAGCAAATATGACACTTCCTTATGTAGTTTTTGACTTTAATAAAATTGTTAGCCAGAGAAACAATATCATTACATAAATTTTATGTTCTTGGAATACTTCTGAGTTTCTTATATGTATGAATATATTTAATCTTCACTTGATACAAGAGTCATGTGCTATTTTTATTATTATCTGCATTTTACAGGTAGGGAAACTGAGAAAAAAGAGAAGAAAATTAATTTGCCAAGAACATACAGCAAATTAGTTGCAGAACTTGATTTTGAGCTTGCTTTTGGGCTGAGCACATCTTTCACCTCTAAGGTCTTAGAGGTGACTTAGACTTAGAAGCAGCAGCAGCAAGCATAACCTACTTTGGTTTCTATAGAGAGTAAAATATCATGAATAAATATGTAAATTTATATGTAAGTTTTTCCATTTATTACAATAAAAATGACAATTAATGAACATGTAGTATACTATGATTTACACATTTCCCATTTATTCCTAAAAATAACACTTATCCTTCAATCTGCCTGGAGAATGTTTGCAGACCTGATAAAACCCTGAAATCAATTTTTATAGGAAAACATAAATGTCTCCATGAACTTTTAGTTTATTCTAGGTGAGTGCAAGATATATGACAGTAAAAATATCTTTCATTATTAATCAAATCATTCTTTTCAGCTGGAACTGAGCAATTGACATCTTCCAAGTACCACAAGGGGGAGGCAAGAGAAGGCTCCACCACAAGAATTTAAGGTATGTGCTGGGATGTCCTCCGGAAATATAACTTGGTCCTTTCCACATACACACAGTCCATGGCAGGGTGGTATAAAGCACTATATTCTTTTTTTTTTTTTTTTTTTTAGATTTTATTTATTTATTTGACAGACAGAGATCACAATTAGGCAGAGAGGCAAGCAGAGAGAGAGGAAGGGAAGCAGGCTCCCTGCTGAGCAGAGCTCAGGGTTGATGCAGGGCTCAACCCCAGGATCCTGGGATCATGACCTGAGCCGAAGGCAGAGGCTTTAACCCACTAAGCTACCCAGGTGCCCCTAAAGCACTATATTCTGAGCCTGTCCTGGAGCAGGTATCTTAGGGTTCCAAAAACAATACTCACAAAACTGGGACTATGAACATAATTCATGAGTCATTTAATAAAGATCTGCATTGTGCTAATCAACAGCACACTGTACCTGAAATGTACCTAGAGAAAGATGAGTCCTTCTGAGCACTATCTTTAGATTTTTAGAAAGGAATTAAGATTACATTTGAGTAATACGAGACTTTAAACAAGGAGCAGTAAAATGAAGTCCAAGAAAAAAAAAATATGATGAAAGAAAAAAGACAACCAAGATTATTGATTTTCTGGAGGACTATGAGTAGCAGGAAAAGCTTTTGGCCAGTGTGGCTGAGTAAATGGCTTTGTGCCTGTTACAGAGATCTATCTGAGGAAAATCCAAGTCCAGAGATGCAAAGAAACCCTCATCCTATGGGTTTATTGAGTATTTCTGCTGGTGAAAATATGATTAGAAGAGTAGGGGAAAGGGGCATTAGCAAACATTTCTAATTTTTAAAAAATTATTTATTTTAAAGAGAGAGAGAACAAGCAAGTGGTGGGAGGGGCAGAAGAAGAAGGAGAGAGAGACATAATCTCAAGCAGACTCCCCACTGAGCACAGAGCTCATCATGGTCTTATACCCAGGACCCTTAGATCATGACCTGAGCTGAAACCAAGAGTTGGCTGCTTAACTGGCCTAGCCACCCAGGCGCCCCAGCAGCATTCCCAACTTTAAAACCATTTTAGTTAGTCATACTCTGTGGCAGCCATGTTAAACAAATCTTACATTTGCTTTCGGAGGATAATTCATTTTATGCATAATTGTTTGGGGCATATTCCTCTTTCCTGAAATTTTCCAGAATATTCGAATCATAGAACAGGATTTATAGTACAGAATAATATAATGAGTCTTTATAAAAATGTAGTAAAGTAATAATATATTATCAAGTCAGGATAGGAATGCTACATTGATCTCAAACTCTAAGACCTCTTCATCCTATTCATAAAAAACCATGCTTTATTTTGTTCTAGGTTGATGTGGAATACTGTGTCATAATTTCTTCCTCTGTTTAGCAATCTGAGCTCACTGTGTTTACTTTTGTTTCCTATAGGTTTATTACAAACTATGATTGCTAGTATAAATTAATTAGCCCTTAAAATCTTCATATACGGCACCTGGGTGGCTCAGTGGGTTAAGCCTCTGCCTTCAGCTCAGGTCATGATCTCGGGATCCCGGGATCGAGCCCCACATCGGGCTCTCTGCTCAGCAGGGGGCCTGCTTCTCCCTTCTCTGCCTGCCTCTCTGTCTACTTGTGATCTCTCTCTCTCTGTCAAATAAATAAATAAATAATTTAAAAATAAATAAATAAATAAAATCTTCATCTATACCTATTTGGCCTGAAAAACAAACAAGCAAATTAAATAAACAAACAAACATAATACCCTCTTATTTCCGGAACAATTGAATAAAAACATTTCTCTGTGCCAGAGATAAGAAGCTATCTACCAAAATCTTTTGTCTTCCCCATAATAGAGAACTGTACCCTGAAATTAATACTCACATAAGACTATATTTTCCCGTTCCCTTACAGTTACGGGTGATCATGTGATCAGTTTTTCCCAAAAGCAAGTGAATGGAACTTATGTGCTACTCTGGCACAAGGCTTTTAAGAAGTCCATGTACCTCTTCTATGATCTCTTTTCTCATATAATGATTGGGTCTAATTGAAAATGGTATCCTATAGGATGGTTGAGCTATGAGACAGAAGGAGCTAGGATTCTTGCAAAACAACAGAGAAGAGAGTGGTCCCATCAGCATGACCAGTCACCAAGAAATATTTTATGAGAAATATATACCTTTTTTTATTTTGTTGAGCCATTACATTTAGACTTAATTATCACTGCATTCTTGCTTATCCTCACTAATATATCCTCTCTGCTACTGCTTACAAAACCTCTTTAAATTTTCCTTAGAGTCTATTCAACTATTCAGGGGCTTTTGTAACTTGGCCTATTTTCCAAGTGAGCACACAGACTATGCAGGTATGAACTTGCGATAGGCTCTTGGGGGTGGGGGCAGGATTCTTAAAACTACTTGTACATAATGAGAATCTTCTCACTGGAATGGTAAATACGACATTAATAATGCACATGAATGTATAGTGATTTTACCACTTAAGGTAGAAATATATCCCCTTGAATTTAGCAAATATTATTTGCTGTGCCCATGAACATTCATTGACAGGTTTGATGAAACCGCACATCCTGCTTTCCTTTTTCAGATAGCAAGAGCTGTTTCATGGAACAAGTGTTTTAGATGAAAATGAATAGGTAGGAAATAAAACTATAATGTAAATCTAGACCCGTGGTTGGTTGGTTGACAGCTGCATGTCTGAGGGAAAAATAGTCAATATTTTCTGCGATGATAGATTGAATGGGATTAAAATACAGCTAGATTTTATCTGATACTTATCAACGATACACATTTCCCTTAGACTTAAAAGAAATATCTGGATGAGTTTGAGGTATTAGACTATTCATTAATCATAGACTCCATTGCTTTTTCATTGAATATGAATATTGGTAATTTTCATGTATATAAGCTGACATTTCAGAAATAATGAATACATTGCTAAATACTGTTTGTAATAGGTTCAAATTTGCTTGTGTAGAACTATGTGAATACTCTTCTGAGACCTGACTAAAACAATGGGCATAAATTATATTTCTTACAAGAATAAGAAAGATATGCCCATGCCCCAGTGAGCTCATAAACTGTGATTTTTGAAAAATATCAGTCACTCAGTTCCTTCTATGATATGCTATAATTATGTTCAGATGTATGCTTAATCAGGATGCTTTAAGTATTATTTTTCTAAAAAATATGTGTAGCATACTCCATCAACCATTAGCCATCCTTCCATGAACATTACATGAATACAGTTTATTAAATAAAACACATTCTCAAATATTTTCCTTTGTTTTGTTTTCCATGCAGAATTTTGTATTCTTTTTTTCTATGGTTAATGATACTAAATTCCTGTTAGAATATAGACATGATTTATATGAGGGACTTGTTCTTAATTATCAGAAACACAAGAAACACATACTGTCAGCCTGTGAATATTGTGAATGCTAACAACAAAAGAATTATGTTGATATCCATTGCTCTAAGGACAAAGACTGAAATTTAGCTTGGCCCACAGAGCCCGGATCATCTGATCTCCATCTGCCTTATAAGTGTCATTCAGCATTATACTCTCTCTCAACTCATGCTCTGTGCTCCAGCTTTTCTGACCTGTTTTCAATTCCATTCTAAACATTCCAAGCTTCTCAGCTTGACTGAAGTTTTCTCCCTCTGCTCATCCACTGTACTCAATCCTTGTTTACCTGAATCTTACTTTTTGTAGGATTTTAGTTCAATAGTGACTTTCTCAGGAAAGCCTACACTAGCATCCATACCTAAATTATTTCAATCTATGTATGCTTTCTCATCAGCATACCCCTCTCCTTCATATATTTTATCCCACTGGAATTGTTGTTTATTTGTTTGTATGACATCTAATGAATGTTATTCTTTCCTATTAAGCTATGGGACTATGCCATTTGTTGGTCACCTTTATATTTTCATCACTTAAAAAGTATGTTGCACATGGAGCTAAATAAATGAATGAGTGAAGTAGCTCCTGTTTATACCAGGAGTGAAAAGAACATCAGGCATGAATTAAGCCATTACACTCTCTGTGTGATGATTTCTTTGAAAATGTTTCAAGGTATTGTAAGATGAAAATCTATTTTCAATTAAGCTTTGAGCAGAAAAGATGCTTCCTTGCAAAGTCTTTTAAATTTCAATGAAAATTAACTTGAAAATAAGAAAAATGCAAACTCTAAGCATAAAATCTATAAAACTAAAATTTCAACATTCCTTAGACTTTTTTAAAAAATGTGCTCCTATACCAGCTCTTCTGCAGCTACTTGTCCCACACAAGATATTACAAACACCAACAAACAAACAGAGAGAGAGAGGAAGATGGAGGAGGAGAAGAAAGAGAAGGGGAAGGAGAGAGGAGATGGGGAAGGCAGAGGGGGAGGAAGGAGAAAGACAAGGAGATTTTGATGGATGGTCAACATTTGGAATTAGGAAAGACACTTTGAAGGGAATGACCCTGAACAAGGTATCTATACATTTGATCACTAAGACTAAGAGGCAAATAAAATGCTCATTAAAAAACTGCAGTAGTTTTCCCTTGAAAAACCAGAGAATAGAATTTGGGACAAACAATTCTGCTTTAAACTGATGGTGGAAACCTAAAAACCTAGCAAACAAGAGGGGGGGAAATGATAAATTATGTGTATAATGTATACTCACATCATTTCCTGACCCATGAACCACATGCACAGAGCATATTCTTAAGTGATGCAACAAAGGCTAAAATCACTATACTGAATTTTGAGCTTTTATCCAAAGACAAAGATTATAGCTTAAGTATAATCAAGTTAATTTTCTGCTAAAACAAACCAACACATGAAAAATCAATATTGTTTGGAGAAATATAACAGAATCCAGAGTGTCTAAAACATAACATTCAAAATGTTAAGAAATGTTTAAAATTACTCAAATATGAAGAAACGGGAAATATAATCATATCTAAAGAGGGAAGGCACAGTGTACAGAGACTAACCACAGGTATTGGAATTAGTGGGTAAGAATTTTAAATTAGTAATCATAACTATGATTACCAATAAAAAAGAAAATATGCCTATAATGAATGAAAATATAGGAAATTTTGCAGAGATTACTAAAATAATAAAATGATACAAATACAAGTGAAAATTCTAGAACCAAAATAGTAAATATCCAAAATAAAACTCACTGATGGGATGGAGTAAACCCCTTCCAAAGATCTCCATATCTGAGTCTCCAGAACCTTTGAATGTACTATTCTACATGGCTACAGGAACCTTGCATTATGTGATTAAGAGAACACACCTTGAAAAGGTGAGATTATACCAGATTACCTGGTGGTACCTTGTAATTGCAAGGGTCCTTAAGTGGAAGATGAAAGCAGAACAGAAAGTGAGAGAAGAAGATGTTACTATGTAAGAGGTCAGAAAGAAACAATGATTCTAATCATTTTACCCACTGCTGCTGGCTTTCAAGATTGGGGAAGGTAATCATTAGCCAAAGAATAGCCTTTAGAATCTGAAAGAGGGAAGAAAACAGATTTTCCCTTAGAGGCTCACAAAAAAGACTTTACCTATGCAGACATCTTGACTTTAATCTGATGAGACCCCTGTTAGACTCTCTAAACTACAAACTGTAAGATAATTTGAGTTGTTTTAGTCAATGAGTGTGTAGTTATTTGTTTCAGAAATGGTGTAGACATAATAAAATGGGCTGAACACCTGAATAAAGGTGGAAGATTAAATGCCAGTGAGCTTAACACAACCACAATTAGAGATCATCTCATATCTATTAGAATGGTTACCACCAAGGAGAGAAGAAATAACAAGTGTTGGTAAGGTGTGGAGTAAAGGGAAACCTTGTATATTGTTCATAGGAATGTAAATTGGTTCAGTCACTACAGAATACAGTATGATTCCTCAAACAATTAAAAATTAAAAATGGAAATACCATATGATCCAGCAATACCAATTCTGAGAGTATTTCCAAAAGAAATGAAAATAGGCTATTGAAAAGATATCTGCACTCCCATGTTTATTTGCAGCATTATTCACAATAGCCCAAATGTGGAAACAACATAAGTGTCTACCAATGAATAAATGGATAAAGAATATATGGCATACACACACACACACACACACACACACAGTGGGATAATGAGACATTATTGAGCTGTGAGAAAGAAGGTAATCTTGCCACTTACATCAGCATTGGTGGACTTTGAGGGCATTAGACTAAATAAGGTAAGCCAGACAAAGACTAAATCCTGTATGATCTCACTTATATGTGGAATCTGGAAAACAAACAAACAAACGTAAAAACAAAGTATAATGATAGTTACTAGCTATGGGGTGGGGGAATGGAAGAGATATTGTTTAAAGGTATAAATTTACAACTAGTAGATAAATAAATTCTGGAGCATTGAGGCACAAAATAGTGATTATAATCAATAATATTGTATTATAAACTACAAAGCTGATAAAAGTTTAATTGTTCTCCCCACAAAGAAGAAATGATAATTATGTGACCCAATAGACTTGTTAGTTAATGCTGTGGTAGTAATCATATTGCACTATATAAATGTCTCAAATCAACAGGTTGTACATCTTAAGCTTACATAGTGTCTATGTCAATTATAACTCAATAAGATAAGAAGAAAGGAAAAAAGGAAGAAAAGAAAAGAAAGAAAGGAAAAAAAAGAGAAGAAAAAAGAAACAAAATGGCTGAAAGACTTCAATGTGAGAAAGGAATACATCAAAATCCTTGAGAAGAACACAGGCAGCAACCTCTTTGACCTCAGCCACAGCAACTTCTTCCTAGAAACATCGCCAAAGGCAAGGAAAGCAAGGGCAAAAATGAACTATTTGGACTTCATCAAGATCAAAAGCTTTTGCACAGCAAAGGAAACAGTCAACAAAACCAAAAGACAACAGACCTAATGGAAGAAGATATTTGCAAATGACATATCAGATAAAGGGCTAGTATCCAAAATCTATAAAGAACTATCAAACTCAACACCCAAAGAACAAATAATCCAATCAAGAAATGGGCAGAGGGCATGAACAGATATTTCTGCAAAGAGGACATCCAGATGGCCAACAGACACATGAAAAAGTGCTCCATATCACTTGGCATCAGGGAAACACAAATCAAAACCACAATGAGATACCACCTCATACCAGTCAGAGTCAGAGTGGCTAAAATTAACAAGTCAGGAAACGACAGATGCTGGCAAGGATGCGGGAAAGGGGAACGCTTCTACGCTGTTGGTGGGAATGCAAGCTGGTGCAGCCGCTCTGGAAATCAGCATGAAGTTTCCTAAAAAAATTGAAAATAGAGCTACCCTACGATCCAGCAATCACACTACTGGGTGTTTACCCTAAAGATACAAATGTTGTGATTCAAAGGGGCACGTGCACCCGAATGTTTATAGCAGCAATGTCCACAATAGCCAAACTATGGAAAGAACCTAGATGTCCATCAACAGATGAATGGTTAAAGAAGAGTGGTATATATATATACCACTTTTCTTATCATTATATTATATGTTATTTTATATATATATATATATATATGTATATACATATATATATATATATATAATGGAATACTATGCAGCCATCAAAAGAAATGAAATCTTACCATTTGTGACGAAGTCTATGTAACTAGAGGGTATTACGGTGAGCAAAATAAGTCAATCAGAGAAAGACAATTATCATATAATCTCCATGATATGAGGAAATTGAGAGGCAAAGTGGAGGGTTTGGGGAGTAGGGAAGGAAAAAATGAAACAAGATGGGATCAGGAAGGAGACAAACCATAAGAGACTCTTAATCTCACAAATCAAACTGAGGGTTGCCAGGGGGAGGAGGGTAGGGAGAGGGTTGTTGGGTTATGGACATTGGGGAAGGTATGTGCCATGGTGAGTGCTGTGAAGTGTGTAAACCTGGCAATTCACAGACCTGTACCCCTGGGGCTAATAATACATTGCATATTAATAAAAATTGAAAAAAAAACAAAAAAGAAAAGAAAAGAAAAGAAAAGGGGGCACCTGTGTGGCTCAGTCAGTTAAACCTCCAATTCTTGATTTTGGCTTAGGTCACTGATCTCAGGAGTCCTGAGAAGAGCCCTGCATTGAGCTCCACACTGGGCATGGAACATACTCAAGATTCTCTCTGTCCCTCTGCCCGTCCCTCACCCCACTCCCACTCAGCTCTTGCATGCATGGTCTCCCCCCAACCAAAAAAAAAAAAAAAGGGAGAGAGAGAGGATAAAAGAAAGAGAAGAGGGTGGAAGGAAGAAAGGAAGGGAAAAGGAAGAATGTTTAATCTTATTTGACAGACTCAAATGCAATATAATGGAGAAACTTAGAATTCTCCTTTCATTTTCTTGTCTGGCATTTCTAATCCCTTAAATGTACACGTTTCCTACAATCACTAACATACCAGAATAATAGTGCATACATTTCAAAGAGAGAGAATATTACTTATTTGTAACACACACACACATGCACACACATACACAGGACAGACTTTGTAAAAATGTTTCAAGATATCCAGTGGTAAAAATAAAAGTCATTATCCTGGGAACCCGGGTGGCTCAGTGGCTTAAGACTCTGCCTTCCTTCAGGTCATGATCTCAGGGTTCTGGGATCCAGCCCTGCATGGGACTTTCTGCTCAGCAGGGAGCCTGCTTCCAACTCTCTGCCCGCCTCTCTGCCTACTTGTGATCTCTGTCTATAAAATAAATAAAGAAAATTTTTTTAAAAAAATCATTATCAAATATAGAACTCTTACAGAGACAACAGCAATAGCAAAAGAAAAAACAAGCTTCTACATGTTGATGATAATTGTGCTATGAATCAAATATGATTAACCTAATTCCATACACCTGATACACAATGGAAGTAAGAAGCAAAAAAAAGGGGGGGAAAAGGAAATTAAATAGGTTTGGCAAAGATAAACTTTTAAGAAGCATATAAATAACAACATATAAATATGTATACTAAATTTAATTACTATAGGATGTTAGTTTCCATTAATATAATTACTGAGCAATTTGGTCCATGGTAAAAGACATATGGTCAGTCTTTGTGTAATGTATCTACTTCATTCTTGATCCCTGACAAAATATATTAAGGAATGTTCAGAGGTCTTCCAAGTGGAGAAATCCCAAAACCATATCTTATCTAAGCTCTTTAGAATATTGTTGTGTCTAATCTTTGTTGATTTTAATAAGAAAACTTTTTCATAATTCTCATTTTTGTGCTTTTCTCATAAACCTACAAAGATTCAAATAAGTTATAAATCCATCTTGAATACTAAGAAGCAGATTTCTTTTATTTATGCTGGTTACTTAATCCCTCCTCCACTAAATATCAGGAGAAAATCAAACTTGTTTTTCACTTTCTTTAAAGAAACATGATAAAAAGATATAATCTTATATGAGAGTGCAGACATTATTTTAAACATTATCTTAGATGTTTTAGGCATTCTATATAAAAATAGTGCATATTCTCAAAAATATTTACTGAAACGGCTACTTCATCCCAAACACATTCTAGATACTGGGAATACAGTTTTAACAATAAAGATAAAAATACCAATGTTATGGAGCTTCTATTCTGGCCAGAAGGCTAAACATAATCTAACACACACACACACACACACACACACACACACACACACGAAAATACTTTCAATTGTAGCAAGTGTTAAGGAAAAAACAAAACAGACTATTATAATGTATAGTAACTTGGAAATGCCACTTTGGATTTGGTGATCAGAATATAACTATCTGAAATGCTGACATTCTTATTGAAACCAACTATGTGAATATCCAGAGCATTTTAGGCAGAACAAAGTGTGAAGGCTCTAAAGTATGTACAAACATGGCATAATTTAAAACTACTGAAAGCCAGCATGACCAAAAGGGGTGGAGTGAAGGAAAGAGTGGGATGTGATAAAGTTAGAGAGGTAGGCAATTTTATGTAGGGACTAAAAAGGCATGACAAAAAGTTGTATTTTTTCATAAAGACAGTAGAAATCATTAACAAATGATATATGTATATATTTTTCTAAATATTGTTTTATATCGTGTATTTTTTCTATATTTTTTATTTTTTATAAACATATAATATATTTTTATCCCCAGGGGTACAGGTCTGTGAATCGCCAGGTTTACACACTTCACAGCACTCACCATAGCACATACCCTACCCAATGTCCATAGCCCCACCCCCCTCTCCAAACCCCCTCCCCCCAGCAACCCTCAGTTTGTTTTGTGAGATTACGAGTCACTTATGGTTTGTCTCCCTCCCAATCCCATCTTGTTTCATTTATTCTTCTCCTACCCCCTTAACCCCCCATGTTGCATCTCCTCTCCCTCATATCAGGGAGATCATATGATAGTTGTCTTTCTCCGATTGACTTATTTCGCTAAGCATGATACCCTCTAGTTCCATCCACATCGTCACAAATATATCATGTATATTAAAGACAAACATAGAAATTGGAAGTACAAAGAACAGTTGGTAGTATTTATTGTAATGTAAGCAAAAATGATGCTATCTTGGAAAAGGACTGTAACAATGAAAAAAAGAGAGAAGCAATTGGGTTTTAGTTTTATTTTTAAAATCAGATAAAAAATTCTGTTTAGTTTGGAAAAACCAATATTGTTAAAATGCCCATCCTACTCAAAGCAACCTATAGATTTAATGCAATCCCTATCAAATAACCAATAGAATTTTTTTTTTTTTTGCAAAACTAGAACAAATATACTAAAATTTGTATGGAACCACCAAAGACTCACAACAGCCAACAGAGTTTTGATAAAGAACAAAGCTAGAAGTATCACAATCCCAGATTCGAGGATATGCCACAAATCAAAACAGTATGATACTAGCACAAAACTAGACACATAGATCAACACAACAGAATAGAGGCCCCAGAAGTAAGACCACTCTTATATGGTCAATAATTCTACAACAAAGGAGACAAGAATATACAATGGAAAGAAAAGTCTCTTTAATAAATGGTGCTGGAAAAACTGGACAGCTCCATGCAAAAGAATGAAATTGGACCACTTTCTTATACCATACAAAAAGTAAACTCAAAATGTATTAAAAACACAAATATGAGACCTGAAATCATAAAACTCCTAAAAGAAAACATATGCATTAATTTCTTTGACATTGGCCTTAGGAACATTTTTCTAGATATGTCTCCTTATGCAAGGGAAACAAAAGCAAAAAGAAAGTATTGGGTGAGACTATATTAAAATAAAAAGCTTTGGGGCACCTGGGTGGCTCAGTGGTTAAGGTCTCTGCCTTCAGCTCGGGTCATGATCTCAGGGTCCTGGGATCGAGTCCCGCATTGGGCTCTCTGCTCAGCAGGGAGCCTGCCTCCTCCTCCTGTCTCTCTCTGCCTGCCTCTGCCTACTTGTGATCTGTCAAAAAAAAAAAAAAAAAAAATCTTAAAAAAAAAAAAAAGCTTTTTCTTGGTGAAGGAAACCATTAACAAAATGAAAAGTCAACTTTCTGAATGGAAGAAAATATTTGCAAATGATGTATCTGATAAGAAGTTAATGTCCAAAATATATAAGGAATTTATACAACTCAACACACACACACACACACACACAAACACAAAAGAAGAAAGAGAGAAAGAAATCCAATTAAAAATGAGCAGAAAGGGCACCTGGGTGGCTCAGTCAGTTAAGCGTCTGCCTTCAGCTCAGGTCATGATCCCAGGGTCATGGGATCAGGTCCCACATCAGGCTCCTTGCTCAATGGGGAACCTACTTCTCCATCTGCCCCTTTCTCCTCTCATGCTCTCTATCTCTCATTCTCTGTCTCTCAAATAAATAAATAAATAAATAAACTTTAAAAAAATGAACAGAAGACCTGAATAGACATTTTTCCAAAGAAGACATACAGATGGCCAAGTGACACATGAAAAGTTTCTCAGCATCACTAATCATCAGGGAAATACTAATTAAAAACCACAATGAGGAATCACCTCACACCTGTCAGAATGACTTGGATCAAAATAGACAAGAAATAAGAAGTATCGGTGAGAATGTGAAGAAGAAGGAACCCTCATACACTGGCAGTGGGAATGTTAAATTGGGATAGCCACTGTGAAGAACAGTACAGAGTTTCCTCAAAAAATTAAAAATAGGATAACCATATGATCCAGTGATTCCACTACTGAGTATTTACCTGAAGAAAATGAGAATATTCATTCAAATATATATGCATCTCTATGTTTATAGCAGCATTATTTACAGGAGCCAAGATATGGAAGCAACTCAAACGTCCATGAATAGATGGATGGATAAAGAAGATGTGGTACACACACACACACACACACACACACACACACACACTGGAATATTACTCAGCCATAAAAAAGGAACAAGATCTTCCATTTGCAACATGAGTGGACCTAGAGGGTGTAAAGCTAAGTGAAATAAATCAGACAGAGAAAGATAAATACCATATAATTTCACTCATATGTGGAATTTAAGAAACAAAATAAATGAACAAAGAAAAAAAGACACAAAGCTGGACTCTTAAATACAGAAAACAAACTGGCGGTTACCAGAGGGTAGGTGGGTGGGAGGATGGGTGAAATAGATAAGGGGGATTACTGGGGGTAAACCCCACTTACTGGGGTGCCTGGATGCCTCAGTCTGTAAAGTGTCTGCCTTCAGCTCAGGTCATGATCTCAGCTTCCTGGGATCAAGTCCCACATCGGGCCCCCTGCTCAGGTGGGAGCCTGCTTCTTCCTCTCTCTCTGCCTGTCACTCCCCCTGCTTGTGGTCACTCTCTCTCCCTCTCTCTGTGAAACAAATAAACAAAATTTTTAAAAAATATACTTACTGTGATG